GCCTTCACACAGCCACAGGGAGGACTGGCCAGCACAAGAAAGCAGCCAGGGGTGTTGGGCTAATGTCAGGTTGGTCAAGGTCACAGGCCTGCTGGGGATCCCTGCCTCCAGGCTGGAGATCATTTAGAGCAGGTTGTATAAATTAAGAGATAAGAAAGGAGATGTACACTGGCTCGTCAGTATGGGGCCCATCTGTCTTGGGGAGTGCACCCTTGGCACATTCCTGTGCTGCTGCTGGCACAGACATTCCAGCACAAGACCTTTAAATGGACATGCTGGGACTGACTGGAAGTCTCCAGGTGATGCTCCAACATGAAGAGAGAAAAAAGGATAGAATAAAATTACTCAGGACACAACATTCAACTTCATCTTCAATGGAAAACCTGAAGCACAGAGGAGCTGCTGGCAACTCATCACTGCAGGCACAGAAGTGGAACTCAGGCTGCAGAGGTGTGAAGAAAAGGTGAGAGCTGCCAAGAGAACAGCGAGGGGGAGCACCAGGGCTGAGACAGCCTTGGGTCAAAATGCACTGAGAGTGAGCCACAGAGCACATGTGGAGCTCTGCACCCTGGGGCCTGGGTCTTCTTCTAAGAGTGCAGAGCCTCTGGGGTGCTTTCCCTTCCACCCCACGAGGGAAACTCAGCTTCTTTCCCAGGAGATCCAGGAACAGAAACCACCAGGGCTGCATGCATTTCCCAAGGCCCACAGTGAACAGAACTTAAGGAGAATAGCAAGATAGCTGTATTACACAGAGAAGCTGCTTAGTCCAGGAAGACTTCATTTGTCTCAATCCACATGGAGAACTTTATACAGTACTCAAAATGCCATTTTCTGGTATCCAGCCCCAAGATAAGCCTTGCTGTTAAGTCGTGTGTGAAATGGAACTGCTGGAACTGTGTGTTTCTCACAAGTACTGGTGGGTCTAAGCACAAGAAAGGGCAGAGTGCCCCAGAGGAGCTTGGGTATATGTGGGTTCTCTCTTAAAGACAGAAAAATACAGTTTTCCTTCCTGGACACACCTGGGCTGCACTGCACAGGGAGTGCTTGCAGCAGGGCAGGATCCCTTAGCAGGTGCTGGATAGAAGAGGCATGGCCTGATCAAGAAGGTGTTACCCCGTGTCCTCAATCAGACTGAGGAATGCTGTTCTCTACAAAAACCCAGTGATTGCAGCCCTGGTATCTCCTGCCTAAGCCCTGGAGGGGAAAGACAGCCCAGCTCCCTGGCATTGCATGCCAGGTGTTTCCACAGAAGGCACTGCTCAGTGCCAGGCACCGGCGTGGGATCAGGCTCCCAGGAAACCCCACTAAACACAAGGACTGCAAGGGACTGCAAGGCAGGGGCTTACCCAGCAGAGCCTGGAAGAGTTCACTTTGGAAGATGTGCGAAACTTTTCCAATGGAAGCTTTTAACTCCTGCTCCTCCGGGGACCGCAGGGTGCTTTGGTATCTGGTCAGAATTTCCACTGCCCGTTCAGTGTCTGCAGAGATGACACAGGAGTAACAAGGCATTAGCATTGTAAGATGCTAAGGGAAGGCTTGAGTGCAGCCTGGAATAATGCCTCAAGCTGCCTTCCAGTCTGGATTTTTAAAAGTCAGACAGCCACAAAAGCAGCCTTCCTTACACACACCTGGGAAAGCTAACCCTGCTGAGAGCCACTGAGGGCCCACAGCAGAGACCTGGACAGGAGGAGAGGTAGTTCTGCCACCAACCCTGAAAATCAGGGGATAAAATCAGATTAACCCTGTGGCACTGGGCAGCCTGAACACCTCTGCCACCTCCCAGGCACAGAAGCTGTTCAGGAGCTGGACACATTCTGGTTGCACAGGGCTATGAATACTACTGCAGGAGCTGCAGCCTCCCACATAGGGCCAGATGGCTGCAGCAAAGCTGAGCGTAGGCCCATTCACGTAGTGCAAACAGCTCAGCTACAGGAGTGGCAAAACTTGGGTTGCTACAGGGTGAAGCATAAGAATTGCTGAAAGCAGCAAACAGCTGTGGGTCAGCAGGAGACAAATGGGAAAGGAAGACGACGCCTTGGGGTCAGAGGAGATGCTGGTGAGGAGGGGAGCTGGAGGCTGCCATGAAGCAACATTTTGGTTAATGACTGGGCTAGGCATAGCTATGAGAAAACCCTGGACCTAAAATAGTGGAGCTGTGATCTCTCTGCCTGGACACCTCCACACTTCTCTGGGCAGACAGCCAGAGCCGCCAGTGCAGTTTCGACCTCAGATGTGACCCATGCCTCAGGCAGGTGGTGAGCTCCTGTGGACTTTCAGACCATCCCTGCCCCATCAGTGGATGTTTCCCTTTGTCACCCAGGCAGACTGCAGACAAAGAGTGTCTGTGTGAGAAGGCAGGGAAGCTGTCCCGCCACTGCTGGAGACTCATCTTTTAAACCAGGAACTCATGCAGAAAGGATGACCCTGCTCATCACAGGGCTCTCGAGAATTCAGGTCATCAAACAAGGGGGCCTGTGTCTGCTCGGGTACATGCCACCTGGTGTCCCAGCTCGCCCAGCCGTCCAGCTTCTCCTCGGCTGAAAGGGAAAGGGAAAGGGAAAGGGGGTCCTCCTGCCTGTGTCACCAGCCCACACCGACTCATCGTGGGAGCAGAACAGGGAAAGGAGTCTGGGGAAGCATGAACAGCTTTGACTTGGAGCTGGGCTCCACACTTGCTCCAGGAAAAGCAGGGACTTCCCTGAGCTTTGTGGCAATCCTAACCCTGTGCTATTACTAAGAGCTTCCTTTTCTGCAAGATTAAACAGTGGCTTCAGACACTGCCCAGCATACCATCAGCAGGGCTGAGATGTCACTGCCTGGTCATTCCTGACTTAGCAGCAGAACTGAAGAAGCTCATGGAGAGCTGGGGCCACCACACCAGGACACAAAGATTGTGAACATGGAGTAAACTTCCCACCACAGCCCAGGCTGTGTGGCAAGAGCAGCAGGCACCATGCTGACCCCTGTGCTGCCAGCCACCCATACCTGGTGACAGCCAGCTGCAGCAGGGCACTGCTGGCCACCCGTACAGGGTGACAGCCAGCTGCAGGAGGGCACTGCTGGCCACCCATACCTGGTGACAGCCAGCTGCAGCAGGGCACTGCTGGCCACCCATACCTGGTGACAGCCAGATGCAGCAGGGCACTGCTGGCCACCCATACCTGGTGACAGCCAGCTGCAGCAGGGCACTGCTGGCTCCCGATCTGGGCAAGTGCTGTGCACCCAACATGGCAGGGGGACCACAGGACCCTTCCTACAGCTCCCAAGAAATGGCACATGGTGTCCAGGGCCCACCTCCACGTGCCTCAAGGTGCATGCAAGTCCCACGTACAGGAAATCCCTTCTGGCAGAGCCTAAACCCCCATGGCCGCTCTCCTTCCTCCCCGCAGCACGCAAGGGATCCGCAAGCAGAGCATCCCACGGCCACCCACTCTGAGCCACGGCAGCACAACGTGTCCACAGCCCGAGCAGGGCGTGGAGCGAGAGCGCCCAGTCCTCGGGTCTTAACCCCTGCCTCGCACGGCCGCCCGTGCTGGGGAGCGAGGGCGGGAGGTGCCCGGCAGGAGCGCGGAGCACCGGGCGCGGTCCCAGCGCCGGTCTCGGCGGGGCAGACACTTGTTGAGCGCGGGGCCGCGGTGCCCCGGCGCGGCGGGCAGGGCCGGGCAGTGCTCTCCTTACCTTCCCGGCGGATCATCGCTCCGCCGTGGCCGACGGCCGCTCCGCTCCGTGCCAGCCCGCGAGCGGCCCAGCCGCCGCCCGCCCCGCCCTGCCCCGCCCCGCCCGGGCCGGCCGGAGCCGCCCCCCGGCCGCGGGCACCGCCTCCGGGAGCGCCCCGCCACCGCCGCTCCGAGCTCCGGGCACCGCCCGCGGGAGCGCCCCGCCACCGCCACCGCCGCTCCGAGCCCGCCGGGCCGCGGGCAGGCTCGGCCTGCGCCCCGGGAGCCGCGCCCCGCTCGGCCTCCCCTCGCTGCCCGCTGCGGAGGGCCCCGCCGGTTCCCCGCGCCGGCGGTGGGTGGCACGGAGGCGCCGCGGAGCGAGCCCGCCCCGGGCCGGTACCGTCCGGGCTGCGCCGGCTCCTTCTCCGGGCCGGCAGCGCCGCCGGCAGGGAAAGGTGCGGAAGGGAGGACGCAGGCGTGCCCGCCGCACCCCTTCGGGCTCTGTCTGCCGCTCCTCTGCTTTATTGACAAAAATAGACAGCAACAAGTCAAACTGACACGGTACCCCTCTCCCTGTTCAAGGCCCTGCTGCAACGTGACCGATGCCGAGTCCCACCGCTCCCTCTGCTGCCCTGGAGCGGCAGCAGGAGCGTGAGCGCGGTCCTGCCAGCCCCTGACACCCACCACCCCCAGCCCTGCTCCTTCTCTTCCCCGAGCAACAGGCATTAACTGCTGCACGGAGCGCCAGGACCTTGTCCCGTGAAGATGAAGCCAGCAGCAGTAGGGACAGGATTTGTGTCCAGGATGGGAGGGTGAAGAACTCTGCTTTCCCTTTGTCCTTTGAAACTCCACATCCCCCTTCCTATTCCTCAAGCCATGGGACAGAGTAGCCCCCAGGGGAACAACCCTTAAACCAGGTGTCCCATCCCTGGCTGCAGAGCTGCTGACAACAGGCAGAGACAGCCCTTCCCCTGCACCAAACAGCGACCCAAATCCCCGCTCCTGTCCAAGCCCCGAGGGAGAGGTCTCAGCTCCAGCACCGCTGGATAAATATTCTGCCCCTAGGCCACCCCTGCAAAGCTTTAGTTCCTCGCTGCTAGTAGGCAATGAGAACTCAGTTCCAAGTCTTTTCAGCTGAGGGCAGCTGTGCACCATGAAAGGAGCCAGGAAGGCCGCGGTAGAAGGGAGGCTCGGAGGAAAGGAGCCTCGGGGCTGGCCTGAGGAGTGCTCCCTGCCTGAGCTGTGCAGGGCTCTGGCTGCCCTTCCCCACAGCTGACACGGGCGTCACTCTTGCATCAAGCTGTTGATCTTTGTGAGTAGCACATCCGTCTCAGACTCTGAGGAGACAGAGAAAAATCATTTATTGTGGGCAGCCACCATCCCGCAGCGACAGGCGGAGCAGCCTGAAAAGCAGGTTTGAGGATATTCGGGAAATGTGGGATTCCCCAGTGCTGTCCCACAGGGCTGCTTGTTAAGGGCAGGACGGGAGGAACTCCCTGGGCTGGGATTCCCTTCCCTCCCCCAGCCATCCCAAACCACTCCGTCACGTTTGGCTGGGGAAAGCTGCCTGCTTGTCAGGGAGAGTCCCAGAGGCAGAGCCTGGCTCCAAGGGAGGGAAGCTCCCGCTCCGTGCGCACTCACCCGCTGGCCGTCTCCTGCGGGAACATTTCCTAGGAGATGGAACAGGATCCATGTTAGCATGCAAGTCTGGTCTCACCATGCCCTCCCCTGAGCTGCCAGCTGGAGGCTCTGGGGCCCCGCAGTCCCAGAGGGAACTGCTCTCAGTGCCTGCAGCACCGGGAAAAAGGACAGGAGCAGGAGCCCCCAACCTCAGCCCACCAAGCCCTGGGGTGCAGAGTGGGTTAGCAAGTGTGAACTAAGGCATCCAGCTTGAGACAGGGCCAGGGCAGGCTTTTAGCTGCAGCTTGGAGATGAAAATTGCTCCCACACACTTCTGTCTTATCCAGACAGGAGAGCACCCCCCCAGGATCTGAGTCCAGAGAGGGGTGGCAGCAGGTTTGGGTCTGCACCAGCCACCCAGGGCACACTACAGCCTCCCCCAACAGAACTGCCTCGGGAGGGGGAAAGGGATCAAACCTACTTCATCAGGACGAAGGCCCAGATGATGATAAGGAAGGAAACACAGTCTACAACGATCCAGATCATGAAGTATGTGCTGCTGGGCTGCAAGACAACGAGACAAGCCACTGAACACCAGCTAGGGGTGGTGTGCCGTGGCACAGCCCTGCCTCCTGTACCACCAGTCCCATCTACAGGGTCACATGCTCACATGCCAGTACAGCAGTGAGCAGAGGTCACCCTCCAGGCAGCTGCACAGGACCCACAGGTGCCTGGGACACAGGGCTGCGGGGCAGGTGAAGGATTCAGGGGTCACTTACCAGCAGCCAGATGGGGTGTTCCATCTCCTTCAGCACCTGGCAGGCGTTGGTGGTGACAGAGCTCACCCCTGAGCACCACAGCACGGAGAAGAGCCAGGGCTGGTTCACCACGTACAAGTTGACAGAGATGTTGTCCTGGCGGTACTGCCTGTGTGGGGACAGCCCTGGTCAGGGTAGCAGACAGCAGGGTGCCACCACACTCTGCACAGCCAGAGGGGGCTGTACATTTGGGATATGATCCAGCATTTGCAGCACATGGAGCAACTGTCTGGAGATGCACACCCAGGGCAGATTTGCTGGCAGGGCAGAGGACTGCAGCCAGCTCCATCCTCTGCACCAGCCCTGCTTGATGGGGACACTTTTTCACAAGGCACACTCCCAGCTCTTCCCAGAAGCACCCCAGTACTTGGCACTCTCACCTCTGCTGGCCCCTGGGACAGTCCCCAGACCCCCTCAGCTCCCAGGTACTTGGACAAAGTGTTCTCACCTGATCTCCTCAGAGCTCATGTCCTGGTAGGGCAGATTGACGTGCAGCACTGGCTCCTTCTCATTCTCGACCCTCTTTCGGCCATAGACGTGCTGGACACCTGGGGCCTGCTGTTTGACATCTTCCCTGAACCCATCTGGAAGCCAGAGGACCTAGGAAAGAGCCAGAGAGCACGTGCAGAGGAGAGGTGCTCCAGAGAGTTTGCTCTCTTGCAATATTCCCTCGCAGGTTCAGGCCCATGTGGCCTGCTTAGACAGCTGCTTCCTGCCCCTGTCTCCATGCTCAGCTCTTCCATGAGGATCTCAGCCAGGACAGTTTCCTAAGAGCTTGCCCCAGCCAAGAAATAAGCACAGGTCCCACTGAAGGGAGGAAAGCAGTTCCAGCCTAGGAAATCTGCAACAGTTAAGTCCTTTCTGGGTCTTTGAAAGGCTCAAGAAGTGAATCCATTTATCCTCAGCTCTGCTGCAAGAATGCACCTCGGATCACCACTATAGTACAAGTCTTTTCTATGTCCCCTCCTGCTCTGCATTCCCAAAAGGCCAAGCAACGTGATTTGAATGCTGATTTGTCCCCTGAGGGCAGCACATAGCCTGTGCTGCAGGGGTTGGAGGAAGCATAAAGGGAGCACAGGAGGGTGCAGCAGGAGTCCCAGAGCTGCAGGGAGAGGTGTGGTGGAGTGTGGGGAGGTGAAAGCCTCAGCATTGTACTCCTGCTCATGCTGGCAGTGTTGGTCTCCTCCCTAGCCTGAGTCATTGTTTACACACCAGGGTGGCCAGTGCTTGGGAAACCAAAGTATTTGGAGGGGTCTGGAGTATTTGGAGGAGTCTGAAGCTGTAGGCATCAAACCCTAATTATTGGTAACTTCTCCCAGCTAGAGAACCCCACATGTGGGCAGGGCTGCCCAGCAGGGATCACATATGGGGTGCATGGGGTGTCAGGGATGGTCAGTGTGGCTGGCAGGGCACCTCCCACCACGGCAGGGGTGTGACAGCAGGGCCTGGCAGGGGTGGGGTGGTGACCAGCTCACCTGCTGCAGCGGGATGCCTGACTGTAATATCACTCCCAGGGTGACATTGACAAAGTTCTGGTAGTCACTGTGGTTCTCAGGCCGAAGGTCAAACATGATGGAGATGTTGCTGTGCTTGGCTGCCTCTAGAGCCTGTTCCAGGGACGGGATCCTCTGTTCAGCTGCCTCCTGCCGATCATCAGGAGAAAGGCTCTGCACCGTGGGAAATGGCCTCCGCTGCAAGGGTGAGAGGGGGGCAGTCATCACAGGCAGATCACCTGGCAGCTTCCACATCCCAAACTGGTGCCTAGGGGACTCAGTTTCCTACACTGGCCTCTCCATGTGTTCTCCAGTGCAGACAGGCACAGGGAACCTCCCTGTTCACATCCATCGGCACCTGTACCCTTCTCCCCACTAACAACAGAATTCAAGCAGCCCCAGCGCCTGTGGGCATTCAAAGCTGCTCAGCAGTAGTTAGTCACCTTTTGGGAAGAGCCTGGCCACAGCTGCCTTCAAGCCCAGGCAGGCTGTGCAGCTCAGAGCAAACATGAGACATCCCCTCTGAAAGCAGCCTCCTCCATGACTCAGCTGAGGAGTCAGAACAAACCCCAGCTTGGGGCATAACTACACCCAAGGGATTTGTGCATGTTTCTGCACCCTGTCCAGGTGTCTGCTAGGACCAGGAAAGGTTCTGGAGCCCCAGGGCAAGGCTAATGCTTCACCCAAAAATGCACCCATTCCTCACCAGCCACCCTAAGGATATTCCTGACCTCCAGAAACCAGCTGCCAGCATCCAGCTGCTGGAGGTCTGTCCAGTTGAAGGCAGTGCTGTTCAGGGCAGCCCTCTCAGGGAACACAGTCTGCACGTTAGTGGTCCTGGTGAGCTCCTCGTCATGCATGAGGAATGGGACCCCGTCAGCACTGGCAAAGGAGCACAGAGGAAAGCCATGTGTTGTAAGCTGTTTGTCTCCTATCCCTGCCCTGGCATTTCTACCCCCTCCCAGCCACCTGCCAGAGTAACCCCCACCCTTATTCTACTTGTGGCCCTTTACACAAAAATGTGCACCTAGAGACCAAGCCACCGACCCAGTAATTCCTTGCTCTCTGAAAGGGCTGTCCCAATAACAGGATTGCATGAGATGAACTGGAGCCAGGGTCTGTTTTCCAAGCAGTACCCCTTCCCTGATGGAGCCTCCCTCCCCAGAAGGCAATCTGCATGGGGAGGACAGAAATCCAGTACCTCTCCCAGATCATTGGGACACCAAGCTGGAGCCTGTCCCATACTAGGAAGGTGGGAGTGGCAGAGCCCTTTGAACAGGGCTGCCTCCAAATGCAGGCTGTATCAGTCCTCCAGGTGTCTTCCAGAATGCCCCCTGTGGGAGGTGACATCCCAGGATACACAGGCCCCTTCCTCCCTCTGAGCCCCTTTACCTCACCATGACGTCTGTCTCAAAGACTTGCACATCACAGCCCACTGCCTTGCGCAGTGACATGAGGGTGTTCTCAGGGGCCAGCTGGAAAGAGGAATGGTGTTAGTGCAGGGAGCATGGGCAGGATGGGGCAGGCACTCATCCTGTCTGGATGCACCCAGCAGCTTGGCTGGGCTCTAGGGCAGCCACAATGAGCCTGGGGTGACCTGGGTGTGGTGGGGGGTGGAAAAGGACCTGGGGGTAGACAGGCAGAGCCTGCCTGGTCCCTGCTCCCCAGCCCACAGGAGCCTCCCCTACACAGCCAGGCTTTCTGCTGGGAGTTGCACACTCCTGGTTCAGCAGTGCTTGGGCAGCAGCTCTGTCCTGCAGCTGCTGCATCCCCTCCTCACCCTGTGCTCCTCACCCAACCTCCAAGCCTGAGCTGCCCTGGCTGCTGTGGGGATACCACTGTTCTGGGCTGGCCAGAGCTTGTCCAGGCCTGTGGCCACAAGGATCTGTGCCCCACAGCCAGGCATAGCCTGGCTTTTCCTAGTGGAGCAGCCTGCCCCATCCACCCTGACCACTGCCAGGGTGCTGGTCACTCACCATGGGTGCTCCTCGATGGCCAACTAGGGCTGGCTTGGGGGGCAGCTGGTTCTCCTCCATGATGCAAGGGGAGGTGATTCCCAAGGGAGCCAGGTAGAGTGCAATCATTGCTGCACAGTACAGAAGCAGCACAAACACCCTGAGACCTGCAGGCACAGACAGAAGTTATGAGGTACAGGGGAAGTATTTTGCAGGTCACTAAGAATAAGCCAAGACTGCTTCACCTGGCATTAACCTGTCATTGCCCTAGGTCAAACATTGCACCCTCAGCCTCAGGAACACTGTGGATTTACTCCTGGCCCTTGCCCAACTCAGCACTTCTGCAGCACTCTGCCACCTGTAGCCTTGTTCAGCTGCAAAGCAGGGAGGGCTGAAGCTGCAACAAGGGCTGGTCATGAGAAACCAGCAAGAGCAGGCATTACTGCCACACTGGAGACCTGCTCCCACTACTGCACTGCTGCTCCCCTGAGCACCACTCTGCCACCAGTGCTGCTCAGCTGGGTGGCAGGACACAGGGCACCAGCCAAGGGGACAAGTGGAGAGCTCAGAGGGGTTACCTGTGCTGCGGGTGCGGTAGATGAAGCTGGCCAGGGGCCAGGCAAGGAGTGTCATTCCCCCCACAGCTCCAATGTGCAGGAAGGGACCTGTTGCCTGGGGAGGCAAAAAACCACAGGGTGTCAGCCAGCAGCAGTGCCTGTCCCCAAAATACAAATGCCCCAATGCCAGGGATCTGCCCCTGCAGCCAGTGCTGCTGGAAGATCCACAGTGCCGGGAGGGAGGGACAGGCTCCTGAGATACAGAACAGACTCCCTGCTCTGGTCCAGCCACCATTCATCAGTCTGCTGGCAGCTGCTCCAGCAGGACTGCAGGGGCAGAAGGAGCACCTTGCCTGGCCAGGCAGCAGAAGTCAAGGGCAGGGAATTCACCCCCAGTGCATGCAGCCGTGCTGGGGACTTCAGTCAGCACCCTTGAGCTCAAGGTCAGGCTCTGGGTACAGCAGGGGAGTCCCTGCTATCGAGGTGACTCACCTGCAGGGAGATCCATGCACTTTTCCACTCCTCTGCCCACTTTATTCCCAGGCCTGTGAAGGCTGCAGCCACCACCAGGACAGTCAGGACCAGCAGGACCTGTGGGGCACGCACAGGGCAGTTAGGGGAGCACACAGCACCTTGCAGGCCAGGCAGAGTCCTCCTCATCCCTTCCTTATGAACCCCTCCCAGCCCTGATCCCCATTTCCCCCATCTGGGTTTGCAGCTGAGCTCTGTGCTCCATGCTCTGAGCACTGGGAATATTCCCATCCCAGACATGTGGCTGAGGAACTGACAGCTGCAGCCCCGGTCAGCAGGGACACACAGCCACTCCATGGGGTCACAGCAGCCATGCACAGCCCCAGCAGGCTGCTCCCAGCTTCTGAAGGTGCAAGGGCAGCCAGGGCAAGCACCATCTCCCTGCACCTCCATTCTCTCACCTTGTGCACCCAGTGTAGCTTCAAGGGCTGGCCACAGAGCTGCAAGCACAGAGCGAGGACCTGCAAGGGCAAGGAGCTGTCAGACTGGCCTGTGCCCCACACCTCACCCCTCACAGGGCACGGGATTCAGCCACAGAAGCTCGGGCTCCTGCACAGGCAGGGGCTCTGCCCGTGCTCAGGCTGACCTGGCCCCAGATGCTGCAGGCTCCTCCCAGCTCAGGGCAGCCTGGGCTCAGCACAGCCCCATTCCCCCAGCTCAGGGCAGCCTGGGCTCAGCACAGCCCCATTCCCCCAGCTCAGGGCAGCCTGGGCTCAGCACAGCCCCACTCCCCCAGCTCAGGGCAGCCTGGGCTCAGCACAGCCCCACTCCCCTGGCTCAGGGCAGCCTGGGCTCAGCACAGCCCCATTCCCCCGGCTCAGGGCAGCCTGGGCTCAGCACAGCCCCATTCCCCCAGCTCAGGGCAGCCTGTGCTCAGCACAGCCCCATTCCCCCGGCTCAGGGCAGCCTGTGCTCAGCACAGCCCCATTCCCCTGGCTCAGGGCAGCCTGGGCTCAGCACAGCCCCATTCCCCCAGCCCAGCAGGGTCAGGAGGGCTCACCAGCAGCACAGACGAGTAGCTGATCAGCACGGCTGTAGCTATGAGCAGCACCAGGGACCAGTCTAGCCACAGCTTCTTCTGCCTGAAGATGAATCTGCCAGCAAAGGGGAAGGTCAGAGGGGCAGGGGTGATGTGGGGAACAAGGCTGGATATAGATCCTACTCACTCATTGAAGTTGTGGAAATCATTGAGGATGATGATAGCGAAGTAGAGCCACACCAAGGTGAAGAGGAAGACGCAGAAGAGGAAGAGGAACCAGCTGCAGTCATACTGAAAGCCAGAGATGAGAGTTATACATGTACCCTCAGGGCTCCTAGCCCCCAGGCAGGTTGCTGAGACCCCTGGGTATCACCCAGCCAGCAGCAGGGGGGTCACAGCAGGAATGGCCCAGGGGTCCAGGCACTGAGCTGCCCCATGGAGAGGGACCAGAGCTACCCTGGCAGGACCCACGCTGCAGAAAGATGGATCAGCATGTCCTACAACAAACTAAAAATCTGCCTCTGCCAGGCTGAGGAGGATGGCCCCTGGGGCAAGACTGCCCCCTTTCCCATGCAGCACTCCATGGGAACAGGCTGGGACTTTGGACACAAGAAGGGGCGGGGAGCCAGGTCCCATTCCCTTCTAGCTGCACGATCTGTGAGCTGGGCAGAGAGCAGTGCAGGGCCTCAGAACTGCCCTTGCAGCGGCGAGTCTGCAGGCTGGCTCCAGCTACACTGTCCACAGCCACCAGTGCCAGGTGTGTGGGGGAGGTGAGGGGTGCCACAGGTGCCAGAGGGATACCTAGCAACTCGGACTTATTTGTACATTCCAGGCAAGACGGGACAAGCCGCAGCAGAGCCACACCCATGGGAGTCGGAGACCTCAGAGGATCCCAGGGCCTCACCACTCCCAGGCTACAAATTGCTGGGGACACCCTCCTGGTGGGGCCACACCCAGCCCAGGAACTGTGTCTCCCACGTGCCTGGCCAGGTGCCCCGGGACCTGCTTGCCAGCTCAGCCCTAGGGCTCTGCTCTGCCCCAGGCACGTGCAAGCCCCACTGCAGAGCACGCTAATGCTGCTCTACCCCTCTTGTCACCCAGCAGGAGCACAGCTCACCCTCTCACTGCTCCAGGCCGGGGCAGTTCCTGGGCAGTGAGGGTGCCAGGTAGCACCCCAGCTTTCCTGGGGCTTGGCCCTGGGAAGCAGGAGCAGCAGCAAGAGGTCAGCAGCTCAGTGTCTGGGCTGAGCATCCCAGCCAGAGCCCTTCCCCACCCCAGCCAGCGCTCTGAGACTCCCACAAAGGGGCTGGCAAACCCCAGCTCAGCATTACTCAGGTATCACCTTGGTGGTTCTCAGGCCCTTCCTCTTCTCCTTCTTGGCAGTGATCCACTGGCAGCTGTAGGGGCAGAGCAGGCAGGTGGCACAGGTGGAGCAGCATCCAGGGGGGTCTGCCATAGCAGCAGACTGTGCCAGAGCCGAGGTCAGGTGTCCTGTGGGGGATACACACAGTGCATTGGCACAGATCTCCCAGCACACTGCCCCCACCCCGTGGGGATGCAGCACTGAGGCATTTTGTGTCCAGGTACCCTGGCAGGTGGCCCAGAGTGCTGGGACATAGTGGGGCTGCTGGTTGTGTCCCCGGACAAGGCACGGTGCCAGGGGAAGAAGTAGCTCAGGATGCAGCCCAACCTGTTCAGCAGGCTGTGCTGGGACCCTTCACCCAACAAGCTGCAACAAGCCTGGAGCTGGCAGGGAGCAGGGCCTGCTCCCCAGCCCAGGGCTCAGCACTGCCTGGGAGCCAGGACCACTGTGCAGCCTCCAGGGGCAAGACAGCACCACTGCACACAGGCTTCCCCACCTGCAAGGACTGTCCAGTGCCATGCCATGGCCTGGGAAGTTCCTGTTCTGATCCCTAAGTCCTGGTCCTTGCTGCTGCAGCACCATCCTGGCAGCCCCTGAGCTCAACCTGCACACCAAGGAATCCCAAATGTGGCTGGAGAGCTGCAGCTGAGCAGGCACTGGATGGCTTTGGTCCAAGTGCTTGTGGGGAACCCATTTCTACAGTCACAGAGATCCTCCAGGGCAGGGCCACCACTGAGTTCCCAAGGGAAGGGAACCAGAGCCAGGATGCTTTGCTGTGATCTCCAGATTCCCGGTGCTTGGCTGGAAGAAGCAGGGAGCCCCAAACAAGGTCTTCCTCGATCCATCCAGAGAAATCCCATCTTTACTATTGCTTGTGCTGCTGTGGAGCTGCTCCTCCTCACCCCAACCTCCCCCAGGCTCACTATGCAACACTATCACCCTGCAGATTAAGCCTGGCTCTCATTTCACTGTGACCACTGAGCCAGGCATGAGAGCCAGCTGACCACATCCTTCCTCCCAGCCACATCCCCTCCAGTGCTGGAGTGCCTCACAGAGCTGTGTCCCATTCCAGTCTGGGCTGTGGAGAGAGGGAGCAGAGCTAGCCCAGCTCCTCCCTGGCCCAGCCAGCCAGGCCAGAGCAGCTCTGCCATGCCCAGCCTGGTCTGCCCCTGGAACAGGGCAGCACCCCAGCCCATCACCTTGCTCCTAAATACCATCCCATGGGGGTCTCCAGGGCCAGGGTGCAGAGCCTGCTCCAGCACCCACACAGAGCACAGGGTCAGACACAGGCAGGCAGCACCCCGAGAGCAGGACCCCATCCCTGGCCAGGCAGCTTCTGCAGGCTGGGGCATGTCTGGGGGCTGCCATCAGCAGGTCCAGCCAGCCAAGGCACAGAGGCTGATGAGCAGCAAAACAGAGCCCCACATCTGCTGCCCCTTCCACCTTCCAGGCACCAGACCAGCAGCTGTGACCTGCTCAGTGATGGCACTGAGGGATCAGCCTTAACACAAGGGATGCCATGGGTCATACCCCTGCTGTCACCAGAAGCAGTCACCACTTCCACCAGTGGGCTCAGCCAGCCTTCCCTTGGAGACACCCTGTCCCCTGTCACTGCTCACATGGGCAAGGCACTGGTGCCAGCAGCTCCTGGCAGGCTCCCATGCAGGGTACACAGTACAGGAGGAGTGGCTGTGGGCACCAGCTGCAGCTCAGCTGCTCCAAGGGACTGCTGCTGCCAAGACGAGCTTGGCAGAGAGTGGCACAGGACTGGTCACAAATCTGCCCCAATGGTGCTGTTGGGAGGGTTTGGAGGGGAAATGCCACCCTGTTGTCCAGCTCAGAGTGTGACTGCAGCAGCAGCATCAATGGTTATGGCAGGGCACACATCCCAGACAGAGCAGGGACAGGCACACAACAGACCTGCTCAGCTTCTGCTCCAGCTGCAGTGGGAGAGCAGCACAGCGGGAGCTGGGGCTCCATCATGGCTGGAAGGACCCTCCTTTACTCCCACCAAACAACTTCCACTGCACACTCAGCCCTTGTGTGCGAGGCACAGGGAATCTGAAGGGCTGACAAACCCATTTCCACAGTCACTGACACAGCAGCGTGTGCTGGTAGCCTCACAAGCACCTCTGTGCTGGCACAGGACAACCTGGTGGCCATATGCAGATCAATATCCCCTTGTCCTGGAGGAGTGAGCTGAGCCAGCCCAGGCTGCGTGCAACCGGGCAGGTTAACAGGAGCTGGTGCCCAACCCCGCTGCTGCCTTTCCTCCTAGGACGGAGGACAGAACACGGGCTCAGCACGGGGCATAGGATGACCCCAAAATAGCAAGAGCAGCACAGCCTGGCCCAGATCCCCCACTCTCAAGACTCATGCCCGGGCAGCCCGTCCTGCGCTCCCCATTCCTGCTCTCCAGAGCGTGGGAACAACACGGGCAACCCCCTTCCTTCCCCCCTCATCTTCCCGGGACCATCACCCCCTCCCCATGCCGCCTGGCAGCCCAGGACAGCATCCCCAGGGCCGGGGCAGCCCCAAGTACCTGCTCCCCGCGGATGTCGGGCTCCCGCAGCCGGGCCAGGTGAGCGCGGGGCTGGGCTCTCCCGGGCCCATGCGTGCCAGCACTCGGCTCCCGCTGCTGTGCTCACACCCTGCTGGGTGTGCCCGGGCCCGGCAGGTCCGCACAGGCCGGCAGAGGCGGGCAGACTGCGAGCGGAGCCGAGCCGAGCCGAGCGGAGCGGGGGGCCGGGCTGGGGTCAGGGCGGGCCCCGAGGAGAGGGGGAAGGGGCCCCGGGGCCGTCACGCGTCGCAGCGCGGAGGAGTTTGCAGGCAGGCCACGTCCAGGCAGAGCCGGACTCCAGGGAGAGCTCCCGGGAGATGGAGGCAGAGCTTCGTGCATCGCCGCGCCTTTGAGAGAGGGGCTCTGGGAGCCCCTCGCACAAAAGGGGACTTTTCCCGGCAGAGAAAGCCTGAACAGACACAGCCCAGGTCACCGCGGCTGGCCCGGCGGACACACCGGGGCGTGCTTTGAAGGCAGAAGCACAGAAGTAAAAGTGCTTTTCTTGCCTTGAGCCGAAAGAAATCCTTCCGAATGAGTGCATCTGAACTTTGCTAAAGCAGCAGATGAAAGGAGGCTCCAGACCGGCCTGATGCCAGCTGAAGATGGATGGGCTGATGCCTTCCACCTTCCCCCTCCCTCCCTGTGGCACAGCATAGCTGTCCCCCCTACCCTCTGCTCCAGGTCTCTGCTCCTGGTGAGCCAGGATGCACGATGGGCACTCAGACTTTTCTGCGTCACTGAATTGATCCGTCATTGCCTGTGATCTCAGGGGACCCCTCTGATCTTCTGCCACTTGCAGAGGACCTGAGAAAGATGATTTACAGGGAGGTGATGGCATTCTGCAGTGACATAGCAACCGCCAATTTAGGCAGGAGCCTCAGCGCTCAGCTGATCCTGTCCCACACTACTGTTAACAGCTTCGGCACAACTCCTTGGGCAGCTCCATGGAATGTGCTGATTAAGGCCTTATCAGTGGAGGGTCTGGGGCACCGCAGGAGGGTTTGTGCAGGAACACCCATTGCTCTGCACCCAAAGGAGTAAGCTGAAAGCATTGCAGTGGCCAGGAATATCTCCCAGACAAGCCAGCAGCCCTGCACACCCAGATTTTGTCAGACGTGAGCAGTTTGGCAGCGAGGTTCACCTCCTGCATCCATGTGTTCTGCTGACTCTGACACAGGTCAGTCACGCTGCTGCACCAAGAGCAAAGCTGTGGGCACAGGAAAGTCCCTGGGATGCAGAGAGCCCTTTTTATGGGGGAGAAGGTTGGCTGTCAGGGATTGAATTGCAGGTTTTGAGGACATGAATTAGTGAGTGCTGAAGTGAGGTGAAGGATCACTCAAGCCAAAAAACACCTTAGGCAGCGTGTAGGGGAAAACCGAGAATGAATAAAGAGACTAAGAAGGTACTGGAAGAGGGGAGGTTGATGTAGAGCTCCGGGAGATCCAACAAAAAGTTGTGGATTTTAGTAGTGTGAGGCAAAGTTTATGGAAGGGGCACCACGGGCAGACAGAGCAGCGGGACAGGCAACTCCCCGAGTCTGACGACGCCAAGAGGGAGCGCATTTCTCGGGGGAGCCGAGCCGCTCCCGCCCGGCGCTGCCGAGGGAGCCCTGGCCCCGGGGGAGCCGAGCCGCTCCGGCCCGGCGCTGCCGAGGGAGCCCCGGGCCCGGGCACCGCCGGGCGCGCCTGCAGCGCCGCCTCTGCCCACACGAGGGCGTCAGCGAGGCCCCTCCCGCCCGGCACGGGGCTGAGGGGACGGGAGCGGCGCTGGGGCCGAGCGGAGCCGTGTCCTGATCCCCCACGGGACGCAGCCTTGCTGGGCCCGGGCAGCGGCCTCGTAGCGCTGCCTGTGAGGGCCGGGAGCCATGCTGGCTCCTGCCAGAGCCGCGCGGGCACTGCCGCGGCCTGGCCGCCAGACGGCGACCTCGGCCCGCGCTGCTGCGGGAGTGCCTGAGGATCGGCCTGTGCAAAAGGGCACAGCTGAGCTCAAAGGACAGGGCTGAGCCGGGGGTGTGACCCAAAGGACAGGGCTGAGCCCGGGGGTGTGACCCAAAGGACAGGGCTGAGTCCGGGGGTGTGACCCAAAGGACAGGGCTGAGCCCGGGGGTGCGACCCAAAGGACAGGGCTGAGCCGGGGATGTGATCCTATGGACAAGGCTAAGCCCAGGTGTGTCACCCAAGGACAGGGCTAAGCCCAGGGATGCCACCCAAAGGACAGGGCTGAACCGGGGATGTGACCCTATGGACAGAACTGAGTTTGGGTGTGACCCAAAGGACAGGGCTGGGCCCACAGGTGTGACCCAAAGGACAGGCTGAGCCTGGGGATACCACCCAAAGGACAGGGCTGAGCCCAGGACAGAGCTGTGCCCAGGAATGTGACCCAAAGGACAAAGCCAAGCTTATAGGTGTGACCCAAAGGACAAGGCTGAGCCCACGAATGCCACCCAAAGGACAGGGCTGAACTGGGAGTATGACCCTATGGACAGAACTGAGTTTATGGGTGTGACCCAAAGGACAGGGATGCCACCCAAAGTGCAGAGCTGAGCTCAGATTTGATACCCAAAGGACAGAGCTCAGCTCAGGGCCATGACACCAAACCCAGCAGACTGACATAAACACAGGCATCATTGACATCCCTGCCAGCTGAGACTGATCTCCAGGAGCCAGGTTAAAGCTAACAACCAGAATGTATAATCAAGCTGGTTTAGCTCTACCTGTCTCACTACAAAGTCAGAGGCATCAGAATTGTGAAAAAGACAGAAAATTATGTTCCTGTCGACACAGTTGGATGAGCTCAGGTACAACATCAAGTGTTGCATTGATGTAAATGGAGTTTGTGTCCTGCCTTCACTTGAGAAAGTTCATCTGTGAGTGTTCTTTTAGATTATGGCAAACTGCTAAAAACACAGAGGGGAATGGTCTAAATAAGCAGAGAAAGTTATGTTGGTGTATTACAGTGCAGATGATGTTATCTCCCTAGACTCTAAACTTGGTGGGTAGAACAGGTATTTTCAGCACATGTGAGTGGCTTAACAGCTTCCTGTTAGGTACCTGTTTGTCCACTGAACTGGTCACAAACTAGTTTTTTTTCAGGAAAAAAGGGCAAGCCATTATTTCAGTTACTTCTGTTTTTCACTATACTGCACACAGTCTACAAGAAATACTCCTTTTAAAGATGGACAGTTTTAGGGAATGTTTTCCCTTCACATAATCTCCTATAGGACCCAGGACCAGGAATAAAAGGAGAAGGCAATACAGGTTTGTTTAACATTATTTCACACTCTTTCACCTTGTAATAGACAACAAAACCTCAGCATTTCACCATTTCTCTGCTGTTAACACTTGAAAATCAGCTAGTAGCAGACCTACATAAACTGATAGACCAAGGCAACAATCTCCATCATTAATCTAAAGTCAATCTGCAGTAATATAGATTTTGCTACATATTGAAGCTGTCCTGCATAGGCACATTAAGAAATTAAGTTGTTTGAAAGAACTAATCAGACAATAAACTGCCTGCTTAGGGGGAGGCAGTATGATCATGGCAGTAGTCTCAATTTTTTTCCTAAAGGCCAGAAGCTTATAAAGAATTAAAGTCTGTGATGAGCAAGCTTTGAATCAGATTTTTTTCCCTCCAGAAGTGGGCTTAGTTAAGGAGCTCAGGAATGCATATTGTGAGAGTATTATTCATCTTGAGGAAAAAACCTCTGTGGATGACTGTACTTATTTCAGCTCTTATCACAGAGTTTGTATGATACAAGGCAAATCACTTGACCCAAACTTTTCATGGGTGGTCCTTAAAGGTTTAATTTCCTGTGTACTTGAAAACAGCATGGAGCAGATTTTCAGGAGTGCTAATCACTAACTGTTGTAATTGAGATGAGTGACAGGAGCCCTGAGGATCAAATGCCAAGGAGTGTTTAGAGTTCAAGCCATAGGGTAACAGCAGATCTCAGCTTGGGCACTGCACCAGTGCTGTGTTTGGCCCCACTGTTTTGGTAGGAATCCAACACCTCTCAAGGGTTTATGGAGATTTATTAAGGTACAGAGAACACAGTAGATCATAGAATGGCCTGAGTTGGACCATTAAAGACCATCCAGTTCCAACCCTCCTGCCAGGGGCAGGGACACCTTCCACTAGAGCAGGTTGTTCAGAGCCCTACCTAACCTGACAAGTTCTTCCAGGGATGGGGCAGCCACAGCTTCTCTGGGCAACCTGCCAGGGCCTCACCACCCTCCCAGTGAAGAAATTCTTCCTGCCATCTAATCTAAACCTGCTGTCTTTCAGTCTGAAGCCATTCACCCTGGTCCAGGCACTCCAGGATCTTGTGAAAAGCCCCTCTCCAGGTTTCTTGTGGGCTCCCTTCAGGTACTGGAAAGCCACAATAAGATCACCCAAATGGTTTCTTTTCTCTAGGCTGAACAACCCAACTCTCTCAGCCTTTCCTCCTGGGAGAGGTGTTCCATCCCTCTCATCAACTTGGTGGCCTCCTCTGGACTCGCTCCAACAGCTCCATGTCCTTCCTGTGCTGGGGACCCCAGAGCTGGAGGCAGCACTGCAGGTGGGGTCTGACCAGAGTGGAGCAGAGGGGCAGAATCCCCTCCCTCCCTCCCTCCCCTGCTGCCCACAGGGCTTTTGCTGCAGCCCAGGACACTCTTGGCTTTCTGGGCTGTGAGTGCACATGGCTGGGTCCTGTCCAGCCTCTCATCCTTCTTGTCAGGATAAGCAACAGTTAAAATGTTCAATAAATTTTATACTACAAAATATAGTTCAAAAATAATTTTTAGGCAGTGTCATATCATATCTAAAGAGAAAAAAATAATTCAAACAGGCAACTCCTGCTTTCATTAAAAGAAAAAAATCAGTTATCAGATTCTTATAGTTATATCTTGTAACACATGCCATGCTTCATTCATGATTTCAAGGACCAAAATATTTGGTTGTGTTCACATGCAGCTCTTTCTTTTTGGAACTTGAACTAGTTTAGAATTTGAAGATGTTTCTCATTTGTCATTTCCTAATTGCCTTATTGCATACTTAACTGAAGTCACAGAAAAACAAACTTGGCAAATCTTAAGTATTAAATTTAGGATGCAGCAGAAGGTATGCTCACAGGCTATACTCACATG